ATTTTTCTGGAGCTCTGTCAGTCTGGCAGCAAAATAATGGTGGCACCATCATAGATGCCTGAGGCTGGAGGGTTTTATGGCACACCCCGGACACCAGCTGGAATCCCTGGATGTATCCACCAGCAGTAAATCCTGCCTCAAATCTTAGCATAGGAAGAACATACACTGCTTTCATGTTACTGAATTCCCTCTGTATTCCTCCTCCTCCTCCAGCATCTGTGAGAGCAACATTACCTGAATGCCTGCTTAGAATACATCAGTACAATGTTTTGGCATCGTACCAGCTAACAATTAGGGTTCTTTTACAAACACTTAAAATCTGTTTTCTGATAGTTATCCAAACTTCTTTACTTGGCTAGAACACTCAAGAGTAAGAGTCATTTTTAGCTCTTGGCTCCAGCTACAAATGATGAAAGACAGACGGCTTTGCAGGGTAAGCAATGCAGCTTCTCATAATAAGAAAAAAGTCCAACATGTGTTGCATAATGCAATTACACATTAATATGGCACCCTCATACACAAGCACAATGACTTATTGAGAATTTCTGGCACAGAGGTAAAAATAAATTGTAATCTGATATATGTATTTCTTCTTTCTTTCTCAGAGCATTTTTCATCTTCCAACTCTGCTCAATTCAATTTTTCCATTACAGAATTTATGGCCCTGATTTCTCTACACTGAATTAGCCTAGCTGACTTCATGCTGATGTGTATCAACAGCAGCACAAGGAAAAGCTGTGGATGCAAAATGTCTGCAAGACAGAGGCTCACACACCCTCCCAGCATTCTGCTGAGTAGTAGCATCGTCATTAGGAAATTGCTTTGAATTTTCTAATAGAATTACAAAGGCAAGAGGAAATATACTGAATTCCATCCCTGCAGAAGTCCAGCATCATAAATGACTCCAAGCACTTCTCAGCTGCAATATTATTCAATTAAACAAGTGCTCCATCACCTGGGGAACATTATTACACGTGGAGAAACACAAAGACAGGAAACATACTCTGTGAGACAAACACGGACTGCAAACAGAAGACAGGAAATTACTAACCAAAGCGAAGTGAAGTGGGAGATGCATGTCTGAAATGGTTTGCAGTGTCCCTACCTTGAAATTCATGCAGATCCACAAAAGATGAATTCTGTGTCCCCTCTTGAACAATGTAGACAAATATAAACACTGACTTCTGAACAATAAGTAAATGTGAGCAATCCTCATATATATCTATGAGGATTACTCAAAGCAAATTATGAAAGTAATCTGCACCAAAAAAAAAAAAAAAGAGAGAGAAGATATTTGAATTAATTGGAAGGAGGACTTGAGGTCTGGTGTTTATACCGTGCCAGGAGGGAAGGGTTTGGGAACTCAACAGGAGGATTCCTTCCTTGACTTTGCTGCATCTGTTTGTGGCTCTATTTAAAAAAAAAAAAAAAAAAAAAAAAAAAAAAAAGCTGTCTGAACCACTGCAAGCACCATTAAATGTATCCATATAAATTTAACACCTAAATGACAACAGTGAACAATTTTCCACATTTTTGTGATAATGTCTAGCACATTTTAGAGTAATGAGAATATCTAACGTTACTGATAGAAAATGTTTATTTAAAAATACATATCACACTTTTAACCAGCCTATGCCCAGATATGTTAAACGCCTTCAGGCAAAAATTCTTCAAAAGAACAGGACCAAACCAGCAAGCCTTTTGTCTCACATACCTACTACTATACCCAGCACTTAATAGTAGCTGCACAGTAGAGTAGGAAAAGCTTGGGCACAAGCTCAGTCTTCTTCCTTCTTTGCTTCCTTGCTTCCTTGTTTCCTTTCTTCCTTGTTTTCTTTATCTTCCTCCCCTTCTTTATCTTCCATTCTTTTTCTTTCGTTCTTTCTTTCTCCTGTTCTCTCTTCTTTTCTCTCTTCCTCTTTTCTTTCTTCCCTCCCTTCCTTTTTTCCTTTTCCTTTTCCTTTTCCTTTTCCTTTTCCTTTTCCTTTTCCTTTTCCTTTTCCTTTTCCTTTTCCTTTTCCTTTTCCTTTTCCTTTTTCCCTTCCTTTCACCCTTCCATTCTTTCTACCTTCCTCTCTTCCTTTTCTTCCTTATTTATTCCTCTTCCCCTTCTTTTCTTTTTCCTTCTCCTCCTTCTTCTCCTTTTCTTTCACTCCCTCTGTCCCTCAGACACATTTTAATTAGTCCAAAGTTAATTAAAAATGGGAACAAAATAATGCAGAGTTCCAGCAAAACACATTTTTCTCACGTGCCATCTGTAATTACCACAGCTCATCTTTTGGGCTGTGCCCCTTGTGCCTGCGCAACACAAGTTAGAGTCACCCGGTGTCACAACTTGACTCAAGTACCGGATCGAGAGCATCAACTCGCGGCGCGCTGCTGCCTCCCGGCGGAGCAGATCAGGATCAGCACTGCGCCGCCGGGCTTCAGGAGCAGTTAAACTGCGCTGTTGCTTGAGTCTTACGCAAAAATACGCTGGGGTTCAAAGCTCCTCAACCAGCCACATGCTCCCAGGAGTGCAGCTCCACTCCAGGCGATGTTTATTTGGTATCTGTTCACCACTGTAACTGCATCTCATTTTGTTCTTCATTGTGTGCAACAGTCTACAGCCGTACTCATATGCGTATCTGTGTGAAACCAGAGCAAAAACTCTGTCCTTGTAATAACGCAGTTTACTGAGTTTGCCAAGTGCAGACAATCGTTCACTGCGAGAGACTGAGAACATGGCTGCGTCTGTGCTGCGCGTGTAAAGTGCCAGAAACACCACATTTCCAGCTAAAAGGAATTATTTCACTGATACAACTATTTCCTCCTGCCACATCACTCAAATGTCCGGATAATGGGACTTTCCTTCCAACTCTTCATCAAAAGAGCTTCTAATGCTTCATCTCTAACTGGATGAGATATCTGCAAAAGCACAGTATTCCCCTAACACCAGTAACACTGATCACATCTCACTCAGTCTTCAGAGGCATAACACGTTATCCTGCAAATACAACAATGCAGCCTGACATCAGTTGAATCTTCTAATGTTTTAAACACATTCTGATCACGGTGCTCTGTACTTAAAGAATTCCCATAGGCTAGCAGATTGCCAGTAAAGGTAAGGCAAGCTGTGCTCAGCTGAGATCCCAAATATTCTCTCCACTTTGGAAGAAATCCAACATTAAGGGAAATGATTTTGAAACTGTGGCAGTACTGCTGGTTTTGGACTGGATACTTGTTAACTCCCGGCTGGCTGCTGAAAATAGCTTCCAGCCATACATGCGGCCGCACCATCAGAATCTGCTGACTTTGCTGGAATTTGCTGGAATTTTCTGGAATTCCAGCTGAGCTGGAATTTCCCCACCATTCTTGCCCAGATCAAGGCTGCAACTCCCTTTCTTCTGGTAAGAAAATGAATCAGTTCCTCACTGTCATCCGTTCTGCGTCTCCCACCAAATTTATCATCTAGTATTTACCAGAAAATAATAAAAATAATACCTAAATACCTTTGACAGTTTTGTAGACATTTTTGCATTAGCACTATACTTCTCTTACCATTTTCCCTTATCTTAATGATGCATTTTTACACATTTTCATAGCAGTTTTCTCCCAGAGGAAGTATACATTCTCCTTTTAAGATATTCTCAGGTGAATATCCAAAAGAGTGAACTTTTCTAGGATTTTCACACTTTCATTACAATAAGCTCTAGAAAAAGCAAGTACCGTGGAATCTGCAAGGCACCGGATAGGTGAGAGGTAAACCTTGTACAAACCTATCAATTGTGGACCCTGAATACATGCAAATAAAGTCTGTCCTTGGCACAGAATGAGTAGTTCTGGTACACCATGCAGCAAATAATCAAATAGCTCAGTGAGCAATGACTGAAATATTTAAACCCAAAAGCCACAGTTTTGCATCTGTTACTTTGTGCACCACCCCGTGGTGGGTGCAGGAAGGCTCTCCCTTGCAGACCCCCACACACAGCACCACAACCGCAGCCACTTACGGCAGAAGCTGCCTTGAACTCTGATCACAGACTTAATATTAACATAAATATGCAGTGAAGGGCAGCCCAAGTCTCTCTGCCTTCCATATTTCGGGTCTCTCCTTTGCAGACTAGTAGCCTGTTGCATTTCTGTACCTCCACATCTAGCTGCTGTTACCCAGCAGTCATCACAGTAGGCAGACATCTGCAGAACAGTTTTTCAGGGGAGCTTTGTAACTCTAGTAATGCCTGTGCATCTCTTGTATGAACAGTGATGAGGAAAGCCTTCACAAGGTTCTTTACAAAGAGTGAGCTGCTGACCTGTCATTTGGAAATGCAGACCATTGCTTAAATGTGTTTGGCACTACGTACAGGGAAGAACAAATTTTTTACTGCTAATTGTAATCATTATTTTCTCATCACAAGACCTCACACTGCAGAATTTACACATAAATCCAGAGGATTAAAGTTCCAGTTAACTCCACACCCACAAGTAGCTACTCACCATGACATTTTTCTTCTTCAGCTTCTGTAGCATTTCTTTCCTTGTTTGCGTACCATGCACCAGACATACAGCATGTATGTAAACTAAACAAAGAGTATAGCAATGACAATGATGCCTGCCTTGTCCATAAGGTAAGGAAACCTCTCAAGAGGAAGAATCTCAAGCCAGATGGAGCTGGATGTCCCAAACCAGTATCTGGAGGTGGTCTCTGAGTCAGCCAGCTGATTATGCTACAAAGGCAGCAGTTGCAAAACCTACAGTTAACCTGGCTGGGTTTTTTCTGAGTTCCCTTAGAAATATTTGATAAAAGCAAGGCCTGACTTTTAAGACTTTTCTTCTCATATACAGAACAGAACAAATTGAAGGAAATCTGTGTTTTTATAACTGTGGGTAGGATTACTTTATTAACTAAGAAACATAACTATGTTAAGTGTTTCGAAAGAGCAAACTTTGAACTTCTGAAGAACTCCTGGTTGCACATTCTTTGTTGGCTGTTTATCATTACACTGGAAAGAACATGACAGTCTGAGTCCTCTCTTGCAGCTTATTTTCCCTGGGAGTCTTCAGCCCAAGGCTCAGAAAAACAGGATCTTAGGAGCATTTTTGCTACACAAAATACATCCATATTTCTTCTTTTAGACATTGACACAGGCATGGGATACAAGCAGTTCTGGAAGCTGTCACATAAGCAGAACCACCCAGGACAGTAGGCCTTCTTGAAGAGGAGACATCTCTCAGCCATGCTTTGTTGTCTCCCACATTTCAGGTATTGTTTGGGCTCTTATTTTTTTCCAATGTCAGGTGTGATTTCAAAAGTTCCCTACCTTCTCTGTGCTCATTGCCCACTTTGTCCAGACCAAAGCAAGCAAACTAGCTTGGCCACGTTCAGCACTTTGTTTGTCACATTTCTTCTTTTTTTTTTTTGCACCTTCTGTTTGGACCCTACACTGAACCCACCAACCACATCCTGGGCTGTATCAGAAGAAGAGCAGCAGCAGGGAGAGGGAGGGAATTGTCTCCTATTCCGTCCTTGTGGAGCCCCATCTGCAGTACTACATCCAGGCCTAGGACCCCCAGAATAAGAAGGATATAGAGCTGCTACAGTGGGTCCAGAGGAAGCCACAAAGATGATTAGAGGGCTGGAGCACCTCTCCAGCTCTGAAGAAAGGCTGAGGGACCTGGCCTTGTTCAGTCCGGAAAAGAGAAGGCTGTGCAGAGACCTCATTGTGGCCTTCCAGTCCTGAAGGGAACTTATAAGCAGGTATCCACTTTTTTCTCATTCGAAAAGTGATAAGAGGAAATGGATTTAAGCTAAAAGAGGGAAGTTTATGTTAGATGTTAGGAAAAAATTCTTTCCTCAGAGGGCGGTGAGGCCCTGGCACAGCTGCCCAGAGAAGCTGTGGTGCCCCATCCCTGGAGGCACCGAAGGCCTGGCTGGATGGGGCCCTGGGCAGCTGAGCTGGGATGGGCAGCCCTGCCCACGGCACGGGTTGGGGCTGGGTGGGCACTGAGGTCCCTCCAAACCAAACCATTCTGTGATTCTGTGATTACTCTGAGCAGCATATTCTCACTGTGAAAGCTCCCCAAAGTGACAAAGTAACTATAGGTTAACAGGCTTCAGAAATGCCCAAAGCACCTGTCACAGTTTCTCAAAACCTGTCAGCTTTCAAATCTGTGAATTCGGTATACGCAGTCTTCAGAAAAACACAAAAGTGGTGCTTAAACTTTGCTGTATTTTCGAGATGGGAAACTGGTTACTAAAAACCAGACAAAAGCTATCACAAAGGCTGAGACACACCTAGCAGATAAAATAATCTGGGCAGAGCAGCTGCTCTCAGAAGTCCTCTTTTTTCTTAGAACAGATAGTGAACTAGAAGTTGAAACCAGGAAATGCCTGGCCTGGAATTTTCTTTGGTGTACTAAGCACACAGCTAATGCCTGGCAAGGAACTGCAGTATGGTGTGCAAAGAGAACCCAGCTGTCTAATGTTTTCTTTTTGATTTCTGCAAAGGAATGGGCAGTGCACAGAATGCCTACATTTCAGTACATAACTGTGTGCTTTTCCTTCTACCATGATGCGACTAACTGGGAAGCCCTGTTTTGGGCAGGGGAAAAGATGCCGTGTCTGCCCATAATCTATAAGGTTGATGACAAGTTAAAAAAGAAGGGATGAGTCCTGGTGTTTCTTCCCTGCGCTGCCCAGTGCCATAAGCAGAGGCAATGAGGGCAAATGGGAACGCAGGAGACTGCACCTAAACATAAGGAAAACATTTGGTTGTTCCATCTTCGAGGTCTCCATTATTGGAGACATTCACACTCCTACGGACATGATCCTGAACAACCTGCTCAAGGTGACCATGCTCTGAGCAAGGGCTTGGGCTGGGTGCTTTTCAGGGTTCCATTCCCCTGAAGGCAGCTACACTGCCCATATGAGCAAATCAAATGTGTGGAAAGTGTTAAGGACTTACGGAAAGCAAACAGATCTAATTCAAGAAAAAGCAAAGCATTGGGCTGAGCAGTATTACATCCGATCTCAATAACTGACTTAAAGAGCCTTATTTTTTGCATCGTATATTTTCTAACTTAGGAAGGTAGGATACACCACTCAGAGGATCTCTAGAGGAAATAGAAGGATAAAGGATCCTGCAAGGATAAAGCTTGTTTATCTGGGCATGGAATTCCGTCCCATGCACACAGCTGTTATTCTGTTCCAGTGACTTCATTCTTTATATCTTAGGTTGGATCTCTTCTATGTGCTACTGGAGGTCTGGGTGAGATGTCAAGAGGAATTCTGCTAACCCATAGTAGAAGAATTTATGCTAATGAATGATGTTCTGGCTAAAATTCTAGCCAAGATGTGGCCTGGGAAACTCAGTTGTAGTCAAACTGATGGATACTGGAATACTACCTAGTGCCCTTACATTGTGCCAAGGATGCAGAAGTCTCCTTCACCATGACACAGACTGTGGACTTTCTCAGCAGGTGGAAATGGAACTTTCACATTAATCTGAATCTGCCCAGTTGTAGTGTGATATTTGCCATGCCTGAAGCAAGCATGCAGCCTTATGCTGAAGACACAAGTCAGACACAGACTCTTTGAAACAAGTCTGACAATCCATCAAAGCACTTTCGGAAACTGAAGACAGGGAATCTCACCCATTAATGAATTTTCACATGTAAAAACACATACTCACAAAAGACTTAAATTTTGCTTTAATTTCTGGGAATGGCAGCTCTCAAACACCTTAGCTGCAGGTTTCCTGACATCTATATTGTCCACTTGTGGTGACAGTATCCTGAAGCTAGTGACAGGAGGTAGGAAAGGCTTAACCACACCCCTGTAAGAAGAGAGAGGCAACAGCAACAGCTCAGCCATTGGCAGAGTAATAGTTAATGAGAAACTACTGCAAACCTTGTACCAAAGCACATGCCATAAAATAACCCGTGACAGTTAAGCGCCTTCCTGCTTTTACACTGCTAGCTTGTTCACCAACTGGGAAAAAACAAACAGAAAGTGGAAGTGTTGCTGCTTTAAAGCAAGTGATCTGGTGTGTAAGAGATTACATCCTCCCAGGGAGGAGTTTTCGGGGAGGAAGGCAGTGTACAGCTCATAAATATCTGGGACAAAGCATTGCTGTCCCATCTGCATTGTGCTCGCTGGTGAGAAGCAGTGTTCCTGTTCATCCACAGACAGCAGCATGGTGGATTCTTTTGTGAAGAGCAAACTCGGAGATAATAAAGTTACCCTTTTCGTAAAGGGATCCTGCCCTTTCTGCAAGAATGCCATAGCATTGCTCAAGGAATTCAACTTTCTGCCAGGATGCCTGGAAGTGGTTGATATCACTGGGATGGATGACGTCCAGGATTATTTCCAGAAAACAACAGGGCAGCGAACTGTAAGTTCTGGTACTTGTTTCAGAATTTCATGACAGAGGACAGCCTGCGCAGCTATCACAGGAGGTGAAGCAAGGTCTCTTTCCCAAGCAGTTTATTTTCAGTGAAACGGTTCAGGTTTCAGGGAGAAGCTCCACCTCTCCCTATTTTTGTAATTGCTCTCTGCTTTGAAGTACTGCTGCTCTCCAGCAGTGTTCTTACTGTGCAGCCACTGTAGAGACCTGTGAGACCGTGCCTTGTGCCTGGAGCTGTGGCACTCCAGTAACATTTTACACAGAAAAAGCTGGATCTTCTGGATGCAGAGGTCACCTTCACATTCACACTGTCACCAGAAGTTCCATCTGCAGTTGTGCTTTGAATCTGCATAAGTCAGCACAGGTGTGTTTGGAAAGGAGAGAGTGTAGAGCTGTGGGTTTCTCTGAATTTGGACTCTTGTTTCATCCTCCAGTGTTAAGTGGAAAAGCATTCTGAATTGCCTCATTTAATCCAGCAGCAGAGTGAGACACTGTGCTTGCAAAACCTATCAGCCGCTTATTCTGAAGCTTAGTTAAACAATTGTTTGTATTACGGAGCAATGCTATGTTCTGGAGTTGCAGGAATTAATTCCCGCAGAAACGCTGACATGCTGATGGGGCAGTTTATGCGTCAGAGTGAGTTGTGCTCTCGTGAAACAAACATGCCTTTTTCCTCCCATTCTACCAATCCAAGAGCAACCACTTGCGATGAAGTGGTGTCTGGACTTCTGGGGCTTTTTCCATGCTCCTGGGATGCCGTGGGCTGTTCTCACTGTGTGCCTAGAGAAAGCCCAGGAAAAATCCAGACCTGCACTGATTCTGGGACTGCTGCATGGTCCCGCAGGGGCGGTCCTGGTCTCTGTTCATCAGTGCTACCTGCCACCTCCCATGAAGTCCCTGATCTCAGCATCAAGCCAACTTCTTGGCTTATTTTCCGTTTGGCTTTCCTATTTTCAGCCACTTAGAGGCAACAAGAGGATACCTTCTTTCTCACTGGCCCTGCTCTGAGCCAAATGGAATTGCTCACACTGGCACACCATCAAACTCCAAACCCTCCTGGGGCAGGTTGCTTGTGGTTACCCTACACTACATGCTGGGGTAATCAGTTCTTCTGCATATCCTGCCTCTGACATGGTTATGACAACATATTAGCAGCTAAGCTACTCCTTGCGTGTCACACAGGCAATCTTGCTCAGCTTCCTGGGAAGAGCATGCAACAGCCAAGCATCCTACACCTCACCCTAGGGCTGCCGGAGAGCCCCAGCACCCTTATTTCACACTGACTTCCACTAATATCTCTAATGATTCTTCCCACATCCCCACCCTGTCATAGCACTAGACTCGTTGCGTCTTTTGGGCAAGCATATTAAATATGTCTTTCCCCTACCTATCACAGTAGGTATACTGCTACATGCTGGTGCCTGTCCCTGTGGGCTTCATCAAAACTCATACTGTGAGCTCAGTCACAGCTGTGGAGTTGAGCTGTGCTGGCAATGGCAGTGGGAGCATGAAAGCAGAAGTACTTTCCCAGCAGTGAGGGAATTTAGGATGGAGAGATGGATAGCTTAGCTAATGGAGCCACATACTGAAAGTAGCAGGTGATTTCACAGCAGGAGAGGGATTGATAGCACTGGTAACAAGAGAAGCCATCCACAGAAAGAGGAAGTGAATTCTCTGGCTGATATGTTTTAATGGCCAGTGAGAGAAGTCATTACTGAAAGCAGAAAACAAATTCCCAGCAACAGAGATATGGGGGAGAGGGTTTTCTTGCACTGTGTTTCACTCAGTGAGGACAAGCAGATTCTGAGTGCTGCCTGGATCAGGTCTCACAAGGCTTGTCTTCCCTGATGCTGCAGTTATAACCACAGAACTGCTTGGTTTGGAAGGGAGCTTCAAGCCCATCCAGTTCCAAGCCCCTGCCATGGGCAAGGATACTTCCCACAAGACCAGGCTGCCTGGGGCCCCATCCAACCTGACCTTTGGGGCACACTCATCCCTTGAAGAGGTCTTGGATGCTGAAATTCAGTAATTGTGCCTAATCTTTAGGAAAGCCTTTTATTATTATCTTGACTCTGCACCAATTGCCTGTCCTCTGTACTCAGTCATCAGATAAGTGGCCTCCTGGCAGGCACTAAAGTTGTCCATCTGCTGCCACAGACTTGAGGAGATGGCTGGCTGCTACTGCACATTCTGTGCGTGCCATTGCAGTAAGAGAAATTCATTCAACACAAAATGAGGAATGAATGAAAAGGACAGATGTGATAAAAAGGGACAAGAATAGGAAAGGAAATAGTAGATGGCCACAGTTATAAAGTAGGAGGAGGACTATGGGCCATAAAAAGGGCACATGGAGAAAAGATTGTGACAGCAAGGGAAGTTCGCCATTCAAATTATCCTTGTTAGGGAGACAAGGGACTGGTAGCTGTGCATCCTGTCTGGCACCTTGTTGTGGCATGGGATGAACCTGGGGGATGGTGTGAGCTCTTGGCCGCTTTATCACAAAGATAGCACATTCTAGATAAATCCTCTCCACACTTTTTCTTGTCACTGATAACTGATTAAGCTGTATCTCTCCTCCTGTGTCCAGGTCCCTCGTGTGTTTATTGGGAGAACATGCATTGGAGGATTTTCAGATCTGCAGAAGATGGAACAGCAGCTTCCCACAATGCTACGTCAGATTGGTGCTCTGGTGTAGCTGAAGGGTAGGTAGTAGGGAGTGCTCGCAGGCCAATAGCAATGCTTTTCTTGGTACTACAGATAGAATCTAAAGCAATCCATGGCAAGGAAAACATTTGATGGCACACCTGTGTAATGTACACATTGCAACGTGATAGAGGACAAGGTGCAGCTGATTTCAGTACACAGCACAAGGCTTATGGCCTTTTGCTTCTTCTGTGAAAGGCTTACAGGTGGTCAGCAGGCCAGCTCTGTCTATGGGACTAAAGATGTCGGATAGTTCCTCATCTGAAATCTGTAATCAAATATCTCCTAGTTTATCTTCTTTCAGTTGGAAACTGTGAAATTACTGAAACTGATTTGTCATTGCTGTTGTTTTCCTTTCCACTTGTAATGCTAAAGCTTAACTAGATAGAGCACTGTTGTGTGCCTTTATGTGACACAGAAGTCTGAATTCACCTCTGAGGTCCCCAGGGGCAGCATTTGCATTATGAAACATTTGACAGCACGCATTTCAGTATCTAGCCTTTGCCTAGGATGTAGCCTGAATGGTTCAACTTTCCTTTTATATTTCTCTTTTTTATTATTAGAAAACAGAGCCTGCTGCTTTAAAAAGAACTCTCTCACTGCTCTGAAGAAGATAGCCTCTTATTATATTGTAACTGGGTTTGAAAAACAATTGGGCACTCTGTGGTAGATGTACTGTCCTTTTCCACTACCAAGCTAATGCACTTCTGTGAGACAGCTATACAACATGCCTGTTGCAGTCATGAAGCACAATGATTTCTGTTTTAGTGAGTAAAAGGGCTGTGCGAGACATATGCATGAACTGGTGCAAATTGTGAATGGAAATTTTCTATAAGAGAAAGCTCTCTCCACAAGACACAGAACATTTCATTATAAATCTCTCAGCTAATTCCTAACAGACTGAGTTTAAACCTGCCCAGCAATGTAGAAGGATCCCAAAGTGGGTCCCCAGAGAATCAGGTTTATACTTGTGCTTGCAAGGAGCAGGGCTTGAAGTGCCGCTAGCCTGGAGATATGCTGTAGCAGGGAATCACCAAAACAGAAAAGATGCATTCTGATTAATTCTGTGCAGGTGCTGTATGTGTTTGTAGTGTTCTGATGCAGAGTGGTGGAAGCCCTGGCACAGCTGCCCAGAGAAGCTATGGTAGCCCATTCCTGAAGGCACTCAAGGCGAGGTTGTACGGGGCCCTGGGCAGCTAAGCTGGTGGGGGGCAACCCTCCCCACAGCAGAGAGTTGGAACTTCAAGGTCTTTTCCAACCTAAACCATTCTGTGATTCTATGATTCTGTGAAATGTCATGTAGAGGATGAGCAGCATGAAGAGCTGTTCAATATGTAAACTGGGGTTGTTTATGTCTCTGGGTTTGTTTCGCAACAATGAGATGCTGCTGGTAGACTAGAGGAGAACCAGACATCAGAAATACCTCAGCCAAGTAATCACCTGAGAAGGGATCATGCTTTCCTAATTGTTACCTTCAGCAAAACCCATGTAATCAGGATGCTCAAAAAGAGGCATTTGCAAATTCATTGTGAGGCCAGGCATATAGCTGGATCCAGTGTCTGGGATACCATACAGTATTAGTCAGTGGTTTGAATCATTTCACAAAGCCAGAAATATAGCTGGATAATTCCTGGCCTTGTGAAACAATTCTGACCCCTGACTAATACCGTATTTACATGTGAATATACATGACACAGAGCGCACTAATTCCTGAGAAGGAAGAAGACCTTTGACAATCCTGTGACTATCCTGTCTGTACAATACCTGGAAGTGTTAGTTTCTAACTACAGGCATGCTGCGTTCACATTTGATGAAAATCTCTTAACGTAGCAACCTTCAGGAGCATAACATAGGATTCTTGCTCTTCTTGTGCCATAAAGCCACAGGAACCAGAATCCTGGTCCCAACACAGAAGAGGAAATAGTGGCAGCCCATGGCAAGTTTTGGGACTACCACAGTAGATGTCACTTCTACAGAACAGGAGACAATATCTTGGCCCTCCCTAACTGCACAACATGAACCTGGCTCTGCAAGCTTCACAGTAAAGTCACAACAGATTTCACCCACACAGTCTGGAATTTTAAG